TGACAAGCACATCTCTGTACACTGTACTATTACTTCACTATCCAGATATCTGGGAACACTCAGAGGACTCACATTACAAGCAGCAGAGCATCTTCCATGTATATATTATGACTCTGCTACATCATCCTATGGACACCTTAGGTGACATGAAATGCTAGGATGTTTGGTGGCTCTAACTCTGGTCTGGTGCGTGCCCTATAATTCATTTCTTCCTATGGCACACATCGAGTCAAAAACAGGCACCTGAAAGTTTCTGGGACACAAATGCAATCAATTAGACAGTAGACCTAAACCCCCTAGTATCCACAGGGTTGGAGAATGGAAGTCTGGTTTCAATGGTTTCTTCCTTATTGATTATAGACACCAAAACCAATTTGTTAATTCTCTTTCACTATTGAACACATAATAGCAGGCAAGGTTCTTGGCACATAAAATTAGTTTAATAAATGCTGAACATATTTGTTTAATTACTTTGTTACTTAGGTTGGTTTCCTGGTCTGAAAATAATTAAGATCAATGTTACAGTAAACACTGAACCCTCAGACCATATAATTCTCATGGTAAGTGAAAACAATAACATACAGGTATTATCACAGTTGAGTAAGCTAGTCTTCCTAATGCCTTGACTTCCTTAAATCTGATCTATAGGACTTAAAAGGCCTTGTCCATCCATGGGCCCTTCTTTATGTAACTTCCAGGGATCTTGGACTAACAAAATTCCAATCTGTATCATCCTGTGTTTAAAATAAATTAGAATGGTCAGAATCTCCCACTCATCCATTTTTTCAGATGATTGTTGACCCTGGGAAAATCTCTCCATGCAGGAATGAGCACTCAGAAAGAGATCAAATATAGAAGATAGGAGTCTACCAATTAAGATCTAAGATTCCTGAGACATCATAGGACAATGAAGTGGTCTAATTGGTTCCTCAAGAAGACAGCAGTTGGATCAGACATTGGCCCCTAAACCACCTGCCATTGTGTGGGCTCACAGAGGCATCGATGATCTGAGCAGGGAACTTCCTTCAAACAGCCCCTGCAGTCAGTGCGAGGGCGCTTCGCCCTCACTGTTCCGACGGGTGCAGGCTGCATTTATTCTGGGTCTGCTCTTTTAATCTTCTGTGAGCCAGCCACATGTGTAAGGTCTCTAGTCTATTATCAGAGTGTAATCTTTTCACTTTTCAAAATAGCTTCTCTCTGGAGCCAGAAAGCTTAAATAGGGCATCAGAGTGCTAATCAGCTCCTCTTCACATGTGGGAATGCTAAGGAATCTGTGCAACAGCCAAATAGAGACGCAAAGCTGGATTCCCTCCATCTGACCCAGGGATGTAGTAATGCCACCCTCAGCTCCTATTCCAGAGTCACTGGCTTGGGTTCCAATGAGTGTAAGGGGAGAAAGCAGTGGTAGGGCAGATGATATGCACTCCAACTATACCACGACAGAACAGACATCAGTACTTAGTTTCTCTTGTAGCCATTAGATTACTAGTAGAATAAGTCAGAAGTTTCTGGGACTAGGTTCATTACTATGATGTGAAAGAAAGGACTTCCGAATCATTTATCTGTAGGTTGTCTGTCCTAATCATTTATATTAGGTTGTCTGAAAAGTCATATTCCAGTTTTGCACAGAAAAACAGAAAAATATCTCATGACTTTTCTTGCAACCTAATAGAAATGCAAGTTCATTTTCCTGGAAACTTTTCTTTAGTCGGTATTACACACCATTTTCATATATGATCACTCAAATCCCATAAGATTACTTTCCTATTCAAGAAAAAAATTAAATTAAATGCTACACATTTCTTCACAGTTAAACCCATTTTTCTTTAGGTTAACATACATTTTCAGGGCACAAGAGAAGTCATTTCAATGAGAGCTTTTTGTTTGTTTGTTTTGTATTTCCAATTTCAGGAAAGAAAATACCTACTTATTCCCTACAAATTTAGAGTAAAAACCTAGCAGAGGCACAAGTAAGGGAGATCAATCACTCAGGTGCCAGGGAACTCAATGGAGACAGGAGGAGTTAGTCTTCCAAGTGTTTGGAAGTGGATAAAGCCAGAAAGTGAGCATAAATCATGTCTTAGAGGGTACTAATTGGGCCAGCAGGTAGTGTGGTGATTAAGGCACTGGATCCCACATGGTCAAATGCATGGCTTGAGTCCTGGACCTAGCAGCTTGAAAAATACACTGGGTGCATGTACATGCATGCCCCAAATCCTGAGAGCAGAATGAAGGAGAAGGGACTGCTGCAAAGCCTCCCCGCTTTGGGGGACGATTTCTCACTTTCCTTCTCCCTCTTCCTCTCTCTCTCCCCAGTATGCCCCATGTGCCCATGTGCAGAGAAATAATAACAAGAAATTAGGGTTCTAATAACCACAACCAGGAATGTTCTATCTCCATTCCACCTATTCCACAGCCAATCCAACAGCAAATCCTTTCAGCTATACCCTATATATTCAGGGCTGCATCATGTCTTTATGCCTCTACTTTTACAACCTGCTCCAAGCCACTGTCAACTCTTTCTCAAGTAACTCTGATAGACTCCTAACTGCTCTCTCTTCTAATTTTATCTCCCATCAAACAAAACCTATTCTCTACATTACACTCCAACTTACACTTTGAAAGCAAGTCAGATGATGGAGCTCCCAAACACAGACTAAAGTCAACCTTCACCACAGCTTGGAAGCCTTTACATCCAATGTACTCCTTGCTCTCATACCATGATGACCTCCATCTTCCCCTACTTATTCTGCCACCCCAGCCTTTACCATTTCCCTCTGCTGAGATGTCCCACTCTCCAGACACAAACATCACTTTCACTCTCAATTCCTTTCAATCTCCTCCCAAGGGTAATCTTACTTGAGAAGCTTTCCCTGATCACATTACATTGTGATAGTAGTAACCTCCAGTCCTTGTCTCTCCTACACTGATTTATTTTTCTTCAACACACTATTAAATAGTATATATTGTTTATAATAATATATATACATGTGTGTGTATATATATATCTGTGTGTGTGTGTGGGTGTGTGTGTGTGTATATATATATATATATATATATATATATATATATATACTCCATCACTGCAATAATACCAGCAGGTAAATTCAATTTGGACAAGAATTTTCTTTTCCTTTTTTTAACTTGCAGGTATATCCTCTAGGACACAGTCTGGCATATAAGACAACCTTTAGTCAATATTTGGATGAGTGAATCAATGAATGGATGAATGAAAGTCACATTCAGCATTTTACTCAGAGAACAAGGATGAATTTATAACTAAGAGACAAGGGTAAAGGACTGAAAGCTAGGAGGATGTTGCAAATGAAAGACTTGGGGCAAAGAGCAGAATTGAATTAAGACAACTCCTTGACTCAGAAGACTGTGTATTTGACATTTGATAGGCAGGGGGTCAATCTGGTTGAATTCTGTCTGAGAACCAGGAAGCTAGTAGTTTGAGGAACACACTTTATTACCCTTGGGGAAATCAGGACACTTCCTCATCTCCAACTCCTGTTCTAGTCTCTGAAATTCCTCAAGCTCCTAAGGAGACAATCTTACATGGTCTTCAACTGTGAGAGCTAATGTCTGATCTGATGCTTGACACGTGCTTGATAAACGACTGTTGAAATGCTATGTCAGAAATACCCTTTCCAAACTCTTAGAAGGTGGGATGTAAATCCTAGGTCTGGGAAGAGCTGGGGCTGACTATCCAGCTCTATGCATTCTCCTCTTTTCAGAGTCCTTATAATCCTTTTCAGCTCAAAACTGTTGCAGGAGGGATTCAGTGATGATATCCAGGTTCTTGGTGTTTTGGACAAAGCATTGAACGAAATATGACAATAGCAAAAGGAAAAGGTAGTTAGGCAGAAGTGAAAGTATACTTCTGAGAGGTAGAAGTGAGCCTAGGCAGAGAGGGAGGAAGAGTGGCTCAAAAGGCCCTGGCAGTTATGTTCTGTGAGATTTATAATTTTTAAAATCTAAGTTGTGTTAACTGACCATCGTCTGGGGCCACTAATTGTTCTCATCTCACTGGCTCTATCAAATGTGACTGGGCTCACTGATTCATCTCATTGGCTCTATCAAATGTGATGTAATTAGACATCTCCTGCCTACATTATCTTAAGCAGAGAATTTTCTGCCCTGATCAGTTTTTCTGACTAGCCACATAGGCAGATGCTCCAGTCCTGACTCAGGACCACCTTCCATATTTTGCAGTTCTAGCACATTTGAACATAACTTTCCTGGACATGATTCTTTTATGTCTTATTGTCTGTCATTTCAATTTTGTTCTTACAAATGTTTATTAAGTTATCCCTCAATAAACAATGTACTCAAGGCATGCTATTTTTTCATCTCTAAATTTTCCTTTAGTATCTGAGCTGATCAGACAGCTCCCTCTACAGCCTCCTTGGCACTTTCTGTGCCTTTTTTTTTCTTTGCTAGTAATTTTGTACATTCTAAATCAGAATTTTCTAATATTTTAAAGCCAACTATTCATTTAACATTTCACACTGCAGAACCATGATCAGTTTTGTTATCTTTAAAATATTTCTCAAATAAAATATGTCACATCTTTTGCTACTTTCACATTTAATGTGACTCTTTCACTTTTTTCTCAGTTTTTATATCAGCAACAAATTCCTCCTTATTGGTAAGAAGTAGGTCCTATATTAGTCAAGTTTCTCCAGAGAAACAAAAATAAAAGAGAGAGAGAGTCACTGAGACTTGTTAATAAGAAATTGGCTTACCAGATTATCGAAGGGCTGGGAAGTTCCAAGATCTGTAGCCAGCAAGCTGGAGACTCAGGAGAACCAATGGTGCAATTTCCAGTTTCAAAACTTTCAGGCTTAAGATTCAAGAAGGACAGATGTTTCCATTGGAGTCTAAAGGCAGAAAAAGCTTAATGTCTGTGCTCAAGCAGTTAGACAAGAGGAATTCCCTTTTACTCAGCCCATTTATTTTATTCTGGTCTTCAATGATTAGACAAAACCCACCCAATTAGGGAAAACAATCTCCATTACTCAGTCCATGGATTCATATGTAAATTTCATCCAGAAATGCCCTTGCACACACACCCAGAAAAATGTCTGACTGAATATCTGGGCACCTTTTCTGCCCAGTCAAGTGAACACATAAAATTAATTGCCATAACCTTTAGTATTCTTTTAGTTTCTTCTCTACTTTTGCAAAATAATTTCAGAAAGAAATTAGGTCTTTCTTGACTCTTTTCATCAGAGGTTTCCTCCAGAAATCTAGTTCTTATTTCTTTCCTGACAATATCCTGTCTCTGCCAGGTTATGATTTATATCAGCTGTGCATCATTCTATCATTTATTCCACAAGCAACCATTTTGTATAGACACCTAATATGCATCAGGCATTTTACCAGAAATCACCCACTCCTATTCTTTTTTCTTTTTTGGTTAAAGAATTACTTATTTATCTAATTTTATTTGTTGTTATTCTTTTTTAATTTGATCAGAGCGAGACAGAGAGCGAGACAAAGAGAAAGTGAGAAAGTAAGCCACCAGGTCCATGATTCGAACCAGTCGGCCACGTGAGAGTCCAGCAACTTAACCACCTGCTGGCCCCACCACTCCTATTCTGTCCTACTAGCTTTGCCTATGTGTTGTGAGAAGGTCCACTCTCCACTTCTGGATTTTTCTGTCTCATATGTTGTCAAATTCTTATCTTCTTTATTATTTTGTATATTATTTATGACTTGCAACTCCTAGTGGTTTATTCACAGCAACATAAATACAGGTAGGAGTAGAAACCACAACCTGGCAATAAATTCATGCACCTGACCAGAGCAGAGACTCTGAACCCAATTTGGCTGACAGTGGTTCTCGGTTTATGTCCACAATCACAGTATATTAAGAAATACTGAGTTTGGGGTAGAAAGTACCTAAAGAGCTGCTGACCCAATAGCAGATAGACTGCAGTGATAGGGAATCTACAGTGGGCAGAACTCTGAAGGACTTGGAGAGAGGCTGCCGGCATTCAAGATATTTCTGTTTATTTGGCTGGATTGAAATTCAGGGATGAGACCACAACTTCTGGAAAAAGAGCTGGCAAGGACAAGGCCTAATATTGGTGGTTAGGAGTGGAAACTTTGGAGCCGGAGTGTCTAGTTATATACCCTCTGGAGCCAAAAGCCTCAGGCAAGTTACTTAATCTCTCTATCCTGGTTTCTTCATCTGCGAAGTGGAAAAACTAAGAGTTATCATCACATACGACTGAGGTAAAATTTAAATTAATATAGTAAGTTAGAATATACAAAGCCTCTAATTCAGCTGCCATTGCTAATTTAGTTTATTATTGTTTCTATTTTATCTGAATAGGAACTAATGCCAAGACTATTACACAAAATAAATGAGGGTGAGGGATATTTTCAGGTTTGAAAATTTAGTAAAGGACGCTCTTATTAGATAGAAGAATTGAATGACTATAACATGGTAATAAACATGGAAGTGAAAATGTCCACCATGGTACACTTGATCCAAATCTAGTAGTCTTTGACAATCTAAGGACAAGGACTTATAGATGCCCCACTTCATAAACATGTGTCTCAGGATATCAGGTGAGTAAGTAACTGTGCTAGGCTCACCAGGTTCAGGCTTGCTTCCATGGCGGTGAGCCACGTGGGAGGCGAGCATCCCAACCACACGGCACCCACTGGCTCCTGTCATCTTCTACTTTTTTTGATTTTTAAGAATTATTTATTTAATTTATTATTATTATTATTATTATTATTATTATTATCTTGCTATAGGACACATGTGCTCACCAGCAAGACAGAGTGAATGAGAGAAAGAGAGGAAAAGTGAGAAAACAAGCCACTGTCTGGGACTCAAACCATAGTCAGTCATGTGGGAGTCCAGGGCCTTAATCACCATGCCACCCGCTGGCCCCCACATTCTATTTTTAATTTAAACTTTATTTATTTATTTATTGGAGTGAGAGAGAGCAGAGGGGTGGGGGCTGAGGTACCCTTGACAGAGTCTTACCATGCCATGATCCTCCCCTAATCTTCTAGCCATGATTACAGGAGCCTGGTGTGTTCAGGTCAATCTGGGAATTGAACCTGGGTCTCCCATGTGGCTCCAGTAATATACACTGCCAATTGACTGTGCCACTATGGTAGGGCCCCTGTCACATTCTTGAACTCATTCCCAGTATATCTGAGTCAGCTCTTTAAAAGTGGAGTGTTATGTACTAAATAAATAAAATAAAAGATGCTATACAGAATACTTCAGTACAAGATGGCAGACTGAGCACAATTTGTCTTCCCTCATGCCTAATCCCACTAAAATAATAGTAAAACAACACTTTTGAACTAGTATAAACAAAACAGCAGAGAGTATAACAGAAGGTATAGAGAGAAAGTGTGAGGATGCATTCCCAGCAGATAAAATATTTCAACATATTTCTGGAAATGGAAAACAGATGGGAAAGTGCTAACAAATTCAATAAATTGCAAGAAGTCATAATGTGAATACTACTGCAAGGTACCACAGAGAAAAGGAAATATATGCCTGGCAAAGCCCTATAATCAGAAGGTGAGGGTAGAAGTAGGTTGGAAACAAAAAACTGATAGTATGTGTATAGAGCAGAGTGTCCCAATTCTTACTGTTCAAGGAAGAGGTTAGCCCCCTAACATTTATCACCAGAAGAAAAAGATCTCTAAAGAAAGTAAATGAACTGGGCCCAGAAGGTGGCATGATGGTTAGGGCACTGGACTCTCACTTGAACAATCATAGTTTGAGTCCCGGACCTGGCGGCTTGCTTTCTTACTTTCCCTCTCTCTTTTTCCGGTGAGGACACGTGCCCTATAGCAAATTAATAAATTGTAACAATAATAAATAAAATAATTCTTTAAAAATAGAAAGTAAGTGAACTATTAAGGGAGAACTAGTGTCCAATGAGACTATCGTCACACTGAAATTAGGTCCCACTTTTTACGAAGTTTGTTCCCTTTCTAAAAATTCACTTTAAGAAAAAGCTTCCAGGTAATAAGCTCATACACATATAGAGAACTAAGGAAATTAGAGATATCAGAGAATGAATGTCAATTCTGCCCAAAATGAAAAGCAGGTCTAACACAACTTCTATGAAATTCCCATAAAAATTTTAAGAAGAATTACTTAATTTTATTTAGCATTATTTTTATATTTGCTATAAGGTATGTGTGCCCACCAGAGAGAAAGGAGACAGGGAAAGTGAGAAAGCAAGCCACCAGGAGCCAGCAGGTGGCATGGTAGTTAAGGCACTGGCCACTCCCACATGGCTGACCACTGTTTGAGTCCCAGATCTGGAGGCTTGCTTTCCTACTTTCCCTTTCTCTCTCTCTGGTCAAATCAAACAAAATAATAATGATGATAATAAATGAAATAAAATAATTCTTTAAAAAAAAAAGAGAGAAAGAAAAGAAAGTCACCAGGTTCAGGACTCAAACCGCTGTCAGCCATGTGGGAGAGTCCAATATCTCAACCACCATGCCACCTGCTTGCCCCCAAAAAATATTTTTACAGATTTAGATGAGGTAAGCCTCTTCTGGGAGGCCTCTCTCTGGTCAAATTAAAATACATAACGTAAATAAATAATTCATTGAGAACAAGACTATTCTAAAATTTACATGAAAAGGCAAAGGAACTAGAGAGCTAACACAATTTTTAAAATCAATTAGAAGGCATCTATATGATTTCAAGACTTATTGTATAATTTTAGTAAACAAAACTGTGTGACACTGACAGAGGAACAGATTCACAGAATAGAGCATAATGAGAATCCAGAAATTGACCCAAATACATTCAATAGATTTTTTTTTCTTTCTTTCTTCCTTTTTCTTATTTTTGCCATAAGGTGTGTGTGCTTGCTGGAGAAAAACAGAGAGAGAGAAAGTAAGAAACCACCTCCCAGGCAGGAGGACCACGCCACAATTCCATTTCCTCCATTCTCCTATTCTCCCCTCAGGATTTTGTGTGCCCATGTAGACATGCCTGGTGTGTTTGTCAAGCCTCTAGCTCTGTGACTCAAACCATGTAGTCATGTGGGAGTCCAGTGCCTTAACCAACATATTGCCTGCACTGGTCCAGTGTTCAACAGAGTTTTAACAAAGGTTCAGGGGAAATAAAGGTAATTCAATGGAGGAAAAACTGCCTTTTCAACAAATAGTATTAGAGTAATTAGACATCCATAGGTACAAAAACAGACAAACAAAAAAAAAAAAATCTGACCAAGTTTCACAACTTAATAAAGATTAACTTAACGTGGATCATAGACTTAGATGTAAAATATAATACAAAAGGATGCCAAAATGCTTATGGAAAAATGGAGTTAAAATTCAAATTTATTTTGGCGTAGAAAAAATTTTTAAAGAATGATTTTATTTAACTTTATTTATTTACTTATTTTAATTTGCCCAGAGAGAGAAAGAGAGAGAGAAAGCAAGCCGCTAGGAGGTCCGGGACTCAAACTGCAATGGGCCATGTAGGAGTCCAGCGCCCTTAACCACCATGCCACCCTCCAGTCCCCAAAATTTTTGAAATCTATGCATTTTCCATAAACTTTCTGATGACTTCCTAGTACTCACAATAATTCTGTATAAAATCTTAGGGGATCATGGCTAGGCAAAGATTTCTCAGACTTAGCCTCATGATTCATAAAAGGAAAAATTGACAAATTGGGTTTCATCAAAATTAAATTGTTTTCTCTGTGAAAGACTCTTAAAAGGATAAGAAAAAGCAAGTTGCAAAATGGAGAAAATATTTGCAAACTGTGTATCTCATAAGTTACCAAAGACCTCTCAAAAATAATAAATCAAATAATCCAGTTAGAACACGGACAAAGGACATTAAAAGAAATTTTGTTAAAGAGGATAT